TGGGTAATGAAATGTCTGCAAGCAAACCACCAAGCTCAGAGAGCACCAAGGACTCTGCAACTTTTTTTTTTTTTTGGCCAGTGGTTGCACTTTTCATTTTCATTATTTTTGACCTCCTGAGAGCCAGCAGGGGCTAGAGGTGCATAGGACAGGGGAAAGATCTGGAATCTTTTTTTCCCCTTTAGGGGATCATTAACAAAACTAGAAAATAGTCAGAAGTGAAATGCATCTATTTGCAGTTTAAATTATCCACCCCCACCCCCACAAAAGAGGGGAGGAATCACAAAGGTTTGCCACTCAGGCTTGGTGAGGAGATCCTCAGAAGCTCAGATGGGGTTGGGGGCTGCACGTTTCTCCATGTCTGCCTTGAGGAGGACTTCCTGATGGAGACCTCCAAGGCCAGCTGATGCTGGATGTGAGATGGGAAGCCAGAAAGCTCCAAGATCTAGTGTCAGAGAGGCTGCAGGGGGATGGGAAGATCTGGAACAGGGGACCATCCCTCCAGCGCTCTGCAGCCTCCCTGGCTGCCCAGACTTTCATTCAACCCCAAGGGGAGACAGACCTCCAGGGGGAAATCCTTCCAGGGGACTTTTCTGATTGGAAAGTAGGGGCAGCCAAAGAGGCTGCAGAGGGATGGGAAGATCTGGAAGAGGGGATCATCCCTCCAGTGCTCTGCAGCCTCCTTGGCTGCCCACCCTTCCCTTCCAATGCAAGGGAGACCTTAAGAGAGAACTCTTTCCAAGGATTTCTTAAAATTGGGAAATGGAGGCAGCCATGGAAAGATTTAGAACAGGAAAATAAAAATGCCACAGTAGAGGCCAGTTACAATAAAGTAAGCCCAAAGGCCTCAAGAAAAGTTCAAAGTGGGAAATGGAGGCAGCCATGGAAAGATTTAGAACAGGAAAATAAAAATGCCACAGTAGAGGCCAGTTACAATAAAGTAAGCCCAAAGGCCTCAAGAAAAGTTCAAAGGAAATTCTCAACCATCTTGAGAATAAGGTCGTAATACAGGAGCCTCTTGGAAAGGAAGAAAACTCTTGAGAAACACCAGAGCGGGTGGGTCATCCAGA